GACTTAGCGTGCCACAGGCCTTGATGGGGGTGTAAGGATTCTCACTTTACAGACAGGAACCAACCCAAAGAAAGAATGGGATTCTCCCAAGGCTTTCCTGCCCCTGGGGTCTTTCGAATTCTGCTTCTGGGCTCTGACCACTGGACAGACTTGTCCAAATGAGCCATATTCTGCCCCTGGTCCCGTCTCCTTATTTGACCCCCATGTCAATGGTGTGGAGCTAAAACAAGGGCTTCCAGATAAAAAACAGGACACCAGTCATATGTGAATTTCAGATGAACAATGAATAATTTTTTAGTATGTCTCAAATATTGCACGGGACATACTTATACTAAAGAAACCAAAGCGTTGCTTATCTGAGATTCAAATTTAACTGGGCATGCTGAATTTTATTTGCTAAATTTGACAACACTATCTAAGGCAGGAAGGGAAAGACAGCAAGAGGGCAAGGCTACCTTCCTAGAAGGTAGGACAGGTGGGTGGATGCTAAGAGACAGACTCAAAAAAATATTCTTCCCTATCTCCTGCCAGAGTGCCCACATCATCCATAGAGACAGTCATCATGACTCTTTGGCCACCAGGTCAAGTGAAAATGTGACCTGGAGGGAAAGCATATCAACCATCAACACTCTAGTGTGAATTAGTTTGCAAGGTTGTGCATTTACTCATTGCCAGCTATGCTGCAGGGAGGAGGTTCCAGGGAGGGAGGCTTTTCATTTTCCCTTGTTCCCTGTGGTCCTCAACCTGGGCTGCAGAGGAGAACCACAGGGGAGCTTTAAAAAATCCCTCTGCCCATGAGAGCAGACTGGTGGTTGCCAAGGGGGAGGGGCTTGGGGGAGGGGTGGGGTGGGAGTTTGGGGTTAGCAAATGTAAGCTATTATATACAGGATGGATAAACAACAAGGTCCTACTGTACAGCACAGGGAACTATGTTCAGTATCCTATGGTAAACCATAATGGAAAAGAATATTTTAAAAATTCCACTTTGCTGCGCAGCAGAAATTAACACAACATTGTAAATCAACTATGCTTCAATTAAAAAAGAAATCCCTATGTCCAGGCCACACTCATTCCAATTAAACGAGGATCTCCTGGGCTGGGGCGGGGTGGGGGTGGGGGTGGGGTCTAGTTATACCCCAGGGGATTCCAATATGCATCCTGTCAACTGAAAAAATGCACTACCTTAAAGGTGAGAATTATGTTTTATTCCGCGGCCTTTCTGAGGACTTGAGCCTCTCAGATAGCTTTGAGAGACTGCTCCCAAACCACCCCCCCTCAAAAAAAACCAAAAAAACAAAAACCAGGCAGTCACATCAAAGCCTTAGACATCAAAATACTACTGTTACTTAAAGAAAAACCAGACATCTCAAGTTAATGAATTTAGTGCGACATTTCTCTGGGAGAAATGGAAGAGTCTGGGCTGATTGAAATCATTCCTTTGATATGCACCTTAGCTATCTAGAGCCAGCATCCCGCCTTCCTCTATCCTGAATCCCCTTACGGTGCACAGTCTCCGGGGTGGGTGGGGGGAGGCGGCGGCAGTGTCTGAGGGCTTGATGGCCGCAACATCCTTTGTTTACTGATATGGCAGACGACATTTTTCATCCACAGCCAAATCTGAGAACCACTGGAAATGATGGTTCAGGGTGGAGAGTTCCAGTGCTTGTGAGGGCTGATGTCGCTGGCAGCCCACCACGTAACGGGATCTTGCAGACAAAATTCTATTGGATTTCCCCAACAGTTCTGCAAGGCAGACATTGTTCATCTCACCGTTCGCACCAGGGTGCAGACTCAGAGAGGCTACAGGACTGACTCAAGGTCACGCAGCAGGTTAACGGCCTGAGGATTCCTTGATGGCTTGGCCTGACCCCATAGCCCTTCCGCCTGGCTGCCTCTGGGCTGTGCAACTTTGGATGAGTGCCTTGCCCTCTCTGGTCCTGCACTTCCTCATCTGTAAAACAGGGCTAGTGGATGCTGTGACAGCAAGCATCATGCAGTTCTGCCTGCCCAGGACGGCTGGGGCGTTAAACAGTGAGGGGGCCTCTGGATGTGCAAATGGCAGAGGTCAATTCTGAGCGCCTTGGGCGTGTCATCCGTGTGAAAGGTGGTTTAGAGGGTGGGGGCCCCCTGCTGGTGGGGTGGGAGGTGTCCGGTGAAGTGGTTTTCATAGACTTTAACAATGATCTCAATCATCGTAAGCGTTCCACCTAAGCACCCAGTAATCCCCTGCTGAGTGAGTGAAGAAGACACTTGCCCACTCCAGACAGTGTGCTGCAGCTCCATTCTCATCCCACCCTCGGCCCATTTTACAGATGAGGAAATTGAGGCTCGGCTAAGAACGAACAGCCAGTGTCTGTCCCCCAGCCGTCTGTTGCCCAGCCTTCAAACTTATCCATGCTGCATTTGTGACCTGGACAGCTTGAAGAGCAAACATTTGTGGTGTTTATGTTGTCAGAGAACAGGTTGTTTTTGCTTGGCAGTTGGTGACGGGGCTTTAGTTTTTCTTTTGAAATAATTATAGATTCACCATAAGCTGCAAAGTCGGTACAAAGAGGTCCCATGTCCCCATTGCCCAGCTTCCCCCAACGGTTGCATCTTAAGTAATCTTGGTGCTACATCAAAAGCAGGGAATTGAGGTCAGTCAAAGGTGAGTGTAGTTCTGGCATTTTATCACACGTGTAGGTTTGATGCCACACCATCAGGGAGATAGGGAGATACAAAGCTGTCCCGGCACCACCTTTACATTCACACCACCCCTAACCCCTGGCAGCCCGTCAGTCTTGACTTTTAACGCACATTTCAGCAGCTGAATCCGTGTATCTGTACTTGCATTTAGGGGGTAGGTCCTGAATTAGCCGCCCCATGGAGACCGTCCCCCACCCCTCTTCTTACTTGCTAACAGACCCCCCCCCCACCCCATTTGATCGGAATGGCAGTGTGCCCCACCTAACACCTGCTTTCCCAGCCTGCCCTGCAGCTGGGGGTGGCCCTGGGATGTAAGTGGAGTCTGCTGGAAATTTCTAAGAAAGCTTTGGCTTTGCAGATGAGAGGCCAAGGCAGCCATGAGTCCTTGTCCCCGGCTGGAGAACAGACAAAAGTTTCAGTTGAAGGCACACAGCCATGCTGAGACCACAAAGCCACGTGACAGAGACAGCATGAGGGTCACAGAAAACAGCCTGGGTTATTGCTGGGCCATGAATAGACATCACCACCTGCTTTGTTACTGGACAAAAGAAACCCTGTATGTGTAGGCCAGTGGTTCCCGATCAAGGGGTGATTTTGTCCCCCAAGGACACGCAGCAACTTTTGGACATTTCTGGTTGTCACGATGGGGGGTAGGGGAGGTTACTGATGTGTTTTTGTTTTGGTTTGGTTTTTTTGCGGTACGCGGGCCTCTCACTGCTGTGGCTTCTCCCGTTGCAGAGCGCAGGGTCAGCTGCCATGGCTCACAGGTCTGGCCGCTCCACGGCATGTGGGATCTTCCCGGACCGGGGCACAAACCCGTGTCCCCTGCATCGGCAGGCGGACTCTTAACCACTGCGCCACCAGGGAAGCCCCTGATGTGTTTTTGAGTAGAGGATGGGGATGCTGCTCATCACCCTAGAACATTCAGGAACACGTGCCCCCAAATATCAGAGTCCCAGACACAGCAAACACACAGCAAGTGCCTCCTCCCCTCCCCCGGCTTCCTCCCAAATATCCCAGTTCCATAAATATTCCAAACAATTTTTGATACAAAGTCTGCTTTAATGTAGAAAAAAACCCTCGTGTACACACATAAATACCATTTGGGGGTATAAATAAAGTAAGAAAATAAAGAGATGTACATATCAAACACAATAAATTACTCATAAATATCACAGTGGAAACCAAGTGCTGGGGAAAGGACCTGATCTCCACGCGGCTTATACAAGTTACTGGAGAGATGGGGGGCTTTCAGATCTTCCTTTTTCTGGCTTTGAGATGAAATGTTTGGGTTTACCTAAGGCGGGAGGCTGCTGAGTCCCAAGTCACAGAATGACCCCACACCAGGGGCCACGGGCTGGAAAAGAGGGAAAAAGCTGCCGGAAGACAGCGTTTTGCCCTTTTCAGGCCAACGTCCCAGCGCGTAAGGAGGGAGTCAGCCCCCAAAGTGAGGTGAGAGCAAGGAGTTGGGGGGGGCAGCGGGGTTCCATCTCTAGGGGGCCTCAAGTGAAATCCACACAACCAGAGATCCCATTCTCTGGAAACCCCAGCAGCTGTGACAGGGACGGGTGGACTGGCACCTTAGGGGGTAGGGAAGGAGGTGGGTAGATTGCCTTATCTGCCCTGGGCAGGTTGTGAAGGGGTCCCATGGAGATTACCCATCCCAGAACCAGCCATAGCAGGGAGTTCTCAAGATTTACACCCAGGCTGGAGGGGGGGCCTCTGCACTCTCCCTGCTCTTGAAGCCTGGTGGGCAGGGCCTGCACCCAGTTACTTCTCAGCCGGAGGGGCTTGGGGAGGGCCAGTGGGCCTCCTTGGAGTTGAGATCTGGAACAATTTTCACATGCAGTAGAGTCAAATTTACCTGAGGTTTCACCAAGGTGATCACCTGTACATGAGTTAAAAATGACTGCTTTTCCTCTGGCTGCCCCTGCTAGAAAGGATGGGAGAGAACTGCAGAGAATGTCAGCTGGGCATAAGAACACTGCCAAAGGTAGTGAGCTCCCCACCAGAGGTATTCAAGCAGAACCAGGGCAGCACAGTGACTTGTCCAGCAGGGTTGGGGGGCTGGGGTAGGTAGCGGCTGGACGGGTAGGATGGAAGGCTTACAATTTTATGATCATACAAGTCTATCCACTAGAAACTGGCACAGCCAATGTAAAACTTTGTCTATGTACAAGTTCTAAATGTTTCTTCCTAAAGCTAAATAGAACCTGGACTCAGGATCATACTTGTAGAAAACCCAGTCCGCAAGCACCACAGGCCTGGGTCCTGGTCTCCAGGAGCTGGGGGTGGGAAGAGGACAGATCCTCTAGTTACTTATAGAAGCTGGGACTCTTCACCACTCCCAGTTTGGTGGCGAGCCCAAATGGGTCCATGCTATCTGTTTTCAGGGGCAAAGCAAACAAATCGGGCTTCAAGTGATCCTGGATTTCATCGGGCTCTGTTGGGATGGTGGACAGCATGGGAAGGAAGTGAGACAGCGGCAGAAAACCCCTGCTTTTGAACAGCTGCCTCTGCCTGGCGCTGCTCAGGGAGACCGGGAGATGGTGTTTCTTGGACCAGTACACGTTGTAGCCGTCCGGACGGATTTCCTCCTCAAAAGCACAATCCTCAGCCGAGTACTGACTCTGCAGAGCAAAGAGGCAGCTTGTGAGCATCAGTGGGTGCCCACCAGGGTGTGACACCGGCAGCAGTAGTAGAGAGACCACAGCCAGGTGAGCATGTGTGCCACATACCGCCACTTGGGTCCACACCATTAGCCGTGTGTGTGTGTGTGTGTGTGCGTGTGTACAGAGTTAAAGGTTATATAAAGGTTATAAACTATGAAGGTGTATAAACCACATATTTTTATATATATATACTTATATGTATTTAGTATAATGTTGTATATATACTTATATAAATTATATAGCATGTGTTATATTAATATACTCATTAACCATATTACTTTTATTAATATATAAATATAATTACATAATATTAAATGCGTGTTAATATAACACTAAACATATATACTAAACATATACTTTATATATAAATATATAGGTACTTATATATATTTAGTATGTTATATAACATATACGAAGTAAAAACCTTTGTTATATTAATATACTCATTAAATATACATCACATTGTATTAATAGGTAAATATTTAATAAATTATATCATATTAAATACATGTTAAATATAACATTAAACCTATATACTGGACATATATTATACATATATATATGTACCTTATATACCTTTATACTTTGTAACCTTCAACTACACACACATGCTTTATGTGTTTTATGTATATTCTCAGTATCTATATATACCTTACATAGATCCTTTATATTTTTCACTAACTCATGCCACTTTTTAAACTTAGTCTTGTTCTGAGCAATATCCATAAAATCACAGCCACGATAGGCACACACGCTTCCCTTCCCCTTACATTGACTATATAATTATTGCCATGAAAAAGTCCCTTGTATTCCACTGGCACGTTGGGAGACATTGCTAAGCTAGGTTATCCTTTTTGGATCAGTCTTTTAGTTAAGAATCAGGAGTAATCCAATCCGGGGCCCAGATGAAAGAACCTATTCCCCATTTAGGCCCAAATGACTGTGGTTCTGAGCCTTTTTGTCTGGTGCCCTGGTAAGAGAAACCTCAGCCCCTCTGGCTCCTTTATTCAGTAGCTGGGGCCCTCCAGGCAGCCTGCCAGGATCGGGGAGATAAAGGCAGCCCCCCTCCCCCCAGGCCAGGAAGAAGCCGCCACCCCGTGGGTGGCCAGAAGGACCGGAAAGCAGTCTCTGGTTCCAGAACACAGAGAATGAGCAAGTCGTCTCCCAAACTGGAGAGGGTCATTACATCTTGGGGACACAGAGGACAGCCAAAGGCGGGGACCCAGGAGGGCTGGGCCATAAACTACGCTGGGAGGCACCCAGTCTCATTTCTGCCCAAGCCTACAAAGGTCGCTGAACTGCAGGTGGGTGAGCGCTGTGCTTAGATAAGGCCCTGATAAGGCCTGCATCTAATGAAGCAACCCGTGCGGGGATAAGGCCACCAGACCGCCGGGGAAATGCAAATCGGTAAAAACAAGGGAATTAAAACCAAATGGAGCGGCTACTTTGCTCTGCTGGTTCTTTGGGACAAATTAGCATCTCATTGGCCATAGAGAAAATGAAATGATTTCCGAGTTTCTAGAAGAATGTGGAATTTGTTTTTAAAAAAAAAAAAAAAAAATCCTCAAGTTTTGCTAAATCGTGACCACGGGATCCAGAGGCAGAACAGGATTTTAGGTGAGGAGACCCTCACCCCCCAGCTTGGACTAGAATGGTGGGTTAGACCCATCGGCCCCTGCCGGCGCTCCCTGCGCTGGCGCCCTCACCCCACCCCCATAAGTAAACGTCACAAAAGTGGCAACTGCGGGTTTGGAGTGGCTTTTGGGTATCAGCTTTCTTTGCCTCCATTCTTGTCCTCTCACGCAGGACTGCCATAAAGCCTGCAACAGGCAGGTTCATTTATCTATGGATAAACAATAAACGGGCACCAGAACCACAAAATTTGGGGACACAAAGATTTGCGCTGCGGAAAGGCGGGCATCTGCACCCATCTTTTCTGGATGGTGGGGCATCCCTTGAGGAGCGGCCCCCTCCCTACCCACTGGCCCCTGCCCCTCCATCCCAGCCCCCGGCCCAGCGGGACTGCATTGAGGCCCCGCGCCAGGCCGGGACCTCACACAGCCTCCTCTGCGAGCCCGGGGGCGCGGGCTCCCTTTGAACTCTCCGCCTTTGTTCCGGCGACCAGAGACCCGGCATCTGCTCACTTCCTGCCCTGAGACCTCTATGGTTACCTGGGCCTTCCCAGCCTGCCCCCCCAGTTTTTCCCGCCCCCCCCCCCCGCCCCCGCCACCCAAAAAAGCCTTTGCAGTTCAGGTGAGCCCGACAAGAGGATGAGCACGGCCACTGCAATATTACCCTAACGCGGCTGCAAAAATCAGTTTTTCTAGTGGATAAAAATTCAATGTAAAAAAACTCTTCAATCCCAAGTGCGGTTTTTCTTCTGACTTATTTGAAGGTTGACTTAAAAAAAAAAAAAAAAAGCCCAAGTTGTGGATATACCCTTCTTTCTTTCCTCCCCACCCCCTTCTTTTAAAATACCGCAGGGAGAGGGGGAGGGGGGCCGAGCACCACACACGCACAGGCAGAAGCGTAAAAGGCCCGAGGGGGGCTTTCCCCGTTTAACGTCAAAGAGCCGAGAAATGGGTTTCCATAGTCCGACTGGACCCGCTTTTGGTTCAAGTGGAAATGCAAAGGCGGGCCTCAAGCATTCTCCAGCCATAAACTTCCATATTAGAAAGTCGGACATTAGCTTAGTCCGGCCCTTGCAGCCTTCCCCTCCGAGCTCCATGGGGACCCCGGCGGAGGACGCAAGGAAACCCTGTCTCTGATCCAGCGCGCCCCCCTCGCCCGCAGGCCCGCGCCCCAGCGCGTCCTGCCGGGTGGAGACACCTACCAGCCCTTGCATTTTGCCGTCGGCGCCCATGCAGAGGTACAGGACGCTGCGCTCGCCCTTGATGGCCACGGTACTCAGAGCGACTGCCCTGATCTCCATCAAACCTGGGCGGGAAGACAGCACAAAACTGCAGCCGGAGCCCGCGGGGCCCACAACACGCGGAAATGGTTGGTGGGTGCGCGGGCCCGTGCCCCCCCAATCCCCCAGTCCCTCTCGATGTCT